CCCCCCCCCCCTCATGCCAAAGGTGAAGTGGCAATGACCGCTAATCAACGAATAGAGCCTGAACGTTGCGTTATTTGTTAGCAAGTTCTGTGAAAAGATTTTTTCATTGTGTACCATCAGTTTCATGGAAAGAAACGATCCGTGTCCTTGCTGTTCTCGTTGTTAGCGTTGTATTTTGCTTTTGACCGAACAGCACACTTTTTTTTTGTATGCTCGATGTTTATGTTGTTTTTTTGTGGCTGTTTCGGGACTACTGCCACTGCTGTACAGATATCCTTTGCGTTTGCTTTTCGTTCGCGGGGGCGTCTCTCCAAGTCTCGGTGCTCTGCCACGCACCAGGGATAAGGTTTGCCCACAGGAATCACGATGTACAGAGACTTGGGCCGTCGGCTCATCTCGTGACACAACGACATTCAAGCTGTTCCCCTCCGGCGCCCATCATTTCCTCGCACAAACCGCAAGCAATATATATCGTCGAGCTCATTCGCCCGACCCGTCGCTCTCCACCTGGCGGCAGATAACCGCGCACCGCGAGTCTGTCGTAGACCTCATTCTCCAGAGCACTGGCCGAGACGGCGAGGGCAAGCTGACTCGGGCGGCGGCGTCTTGCCTCCGAGCGGTGCTACGAGGGAGTTCCAACGACGGAGGCGGGAAAACGGCCGTCGGCGTGGGGGATAGAAAATTGGAGCTGGCGGCGGCGGTGGACCGGTGCCTTGGGGTCCCCGAAATCGCTGCATTGAGGTGCGTCGCTTGGCGCAGGCCTTGATTGTTGCATTAGCAACCAATACGCAGTACTTCGTTTTTCGTGTTCGTTGCTGGCATCTGCTGTTTTGTGCCCGACAGAGTGCGGTGTTTGGCCCCAAAGCAACAGCTAGCGAATTTTGTCACGGAACATCGGCTCGTCCGACGACCGTCGACGTATACCACGCGTGGATGAAGGTGGTAGAGGTATGTTGGCAAAGGAGCCGCCGTTCTCGCGCGACCGGTTCTAGAACCGAGCGCTGCGATGGTCGACTAGATTGGTTCACTTCTCAAGAATACCCCGGACGATTCACTTGCCTACACTTCCTTCGCAAAAGTTTGATCGAGGTGCCTGCTTCCCGGCGTCCTGACACAAGCCAAATTGAAGAAACTACACCCCTGGCGTGTCAATCTTCACTGCCCCCGGCCACGCCCAACCCCGCTTTGTCTGCCGACTTCCCGACCCATCTCCCACATTTTCAAGCCACTCGAACGGCCTCATGAAACGAGAAGGAACTGTCGGCGGTCACGCGGAACGGCAGCTGCGGAGGGAGCTGCTCGCCGCGAAAGAGATGCTGGTATAAAAAAAATCACGCGTAGGACTATGCATATGTTTGTTTTTGTGTACTGGAGTTTCTTGTCATGCTTTCCCCAACGAACCAACGGCATGGTCCGAGAAGTCAAGGCGCGACGAAGGGTCACAGGCAGCCCTCCAGTATGTAACATTGTTGTTTTTTGCTTTCTTTCGGTTCGGCTTGGTCCGTGTCGCACTTGCCGCAGGATCATTTGTAGAATTCTCGAGTTTTTTTTTCCTTCAGCAGCGATGTTACCCGCGCCCCTGAGGACAACGGGACAAGTTCGGGTAAATCATTCAAGGTAGTCTTTCTTTAATTGTTTTTGATATTTTGTAGTCCAAGACCTCGGGGAGGAGTTGTTGCGGGAGTGAAATCTTCGGAAGTTTCGTCAAGACGGCGTAGTTTATGGAGTTGAACATATTGCTTGGACGTCATTTCCTCGTTCTCTGTCTTAGGGTGCACCAGGACACTGTTCTCAACCTTCGAGTGTCAGTGTCAGTGGCTGGAGTGTCGGTCAAGCGCGTGCTTTGTCGTGTGTTGTTGGTCAGGGCGGCCAGGTTGGCGCGCCGAAGTAGCTCAGAGAATGCAGCTGCGGCGAAGAAGAGAAAAACAACAAGGGGTAAAGGCTACCGATGTGGGCAGAAGCAAAAGATTGCTTGCTTTCGTTTGGCATCTCTGGGAAACTTCACCCGCGAACTTGTTTTCGTTTCACATCGATTCGGTACTGTTTGTTGCGATTGGTGCTCGAAAGGAGGTGGTGGCGGACAGTGTGCGTATCGCCGGCCGGCCGTCTCTCGAAGGCACAAGCCCTTCTTCGCCTGGCGACCATTCACCCCGTCGTCCCCTGTTACGAGGGGTGGCAGCGTCAAGTGGCACTTGGGAAATGACATTCATGGTGTATCATACGCTCCAGCTCCCTAAACCGGTACTACAGACCGTATCAGTGAATACAGTCCGTAATTGTGAATGGAGCGTCAATATTTAGACTAGGTATCCTGAACAACGGCTGACGCGTCGTCCGTTGATGGGGCCTCGCGTTGTGCCATGAAAGAAAATAAAGCACGCGTTACACGAAGGTGAAAATTGTTGGTTCACTTGAAGTTACACAGGGGGGGGAGCGTAAACGATACGCACACGCGCTGCACGGGAAGATGGTGTGTAGGCAGCACTCCAGAAGGGGGAGTAATAGCTACTGCTGCAGCTTTTTTTATCAGTGTCTACAGCTTTGGGGTTGTGGAAGAAGTGAGACAAAACATTGACGTGTGTGGGACCATTCTGATCCGATTACTGATGGTGGCAGGAGCAGAAAGTATGAATCCGTGAATGCGCACAATATTTTTTTTTGTGCGTACGTGAGCTACACTGCTTTACAATGTGACCCCGGTTGGGTCGTCTAGCTAGTAGAAGTGGAGGACAGGGGCCAGAGGAGCAGACGACAGAGTCTAATGATGGGAGAAAAAAAAAAAAGTAGCTGGCACCACAAGCACATGCACCACTTCCGCGCCGGTTCTTGGTACGTACGTTGGAGAGGTATCTACAGTTCGGAGGGACCCCCAGTTCAAAAAAAAATCTGCGTACAACTTGCACACGCCGTTTGAAGCTGAAAGCGTTGGCCGCCTTTGCTATGCTTTGCTGTTTGGTGGCGTGTCGCGGCCGTGAGACGGAATAGGAGCTGACGGCCATCTGCGTACAAACGCCTCACTCGGCCACTGGTGATCAAAGACTGCGTCTGCTGGGAGGTACGGACCAACGATCGCATCAATCAATCTGTAGAGTAGTTGGGTGGTGTATGTCCTGCGCAGTGCTTTGCTGCGAACTCGCTCTCTTCCCATGTCTACTGCTGTGCTGCACAAGGGAAGCGCGACATGAGAAAGTGGAGGCCTGCCGCATGCTGTGAGCGTGCGTGCCACCAAGCGTGACACACGAACCCTCAACACTCGGTAACCTCTCGTGTGTTACTATCTCTGACCGATTGTGTGCGGCACCAGCGGGGAAGACTCTTTTTCATCTTCGAATTTCAAATCCACTGAACGACAGCTGTGCATGTTCTAACGAACTTGATCGAAGATTTTGGAGTCTGAACTCACCGATGCCTATGAACGAGACGCACCTCCACACCACAATCGGTGCAGCATGACTGGGGGGATTCGATAATGGCGATTCTCTTTCATCCATTAGATTGCATCTTGGTCACGCACGATGGTGTGCAAACCTCTGTGAACATGCACGCCGGTAATGCATAAGAACAAGAATTATTGAACCAGCCTCCCTGATACCCCGGCTGATGGGTACACCGAAGAGTACACAGCAGTCGACTGGTGCCTGAATCTATGGAATGGATGCAGACACAATACCGTCAAAACCCACACACGTCATGTTACGAAATGGGCTTTCTGCTGTAAAAGGGTCTACGCTACAGCTGTGGTGTAGCAGTTTCACAGCGTCCCGGTAGGTTGCGTAAGATACCACACTCCCTGCGCAGATTTTCAACGCTCGATTGCTCCACGACGAAGAGAAATCAAATGGTACGTGTTCCGAAAGTTCCGGGCGCGACGGTTCCCATCACCGCCGTGTGTTCGGCACCGTTGCCTTTTGTGCTGCAGGGTTCTCCATCTTTGACAATCGGTCCAGGGTGGTGGTATCTTGTGCAATCTCCGGCAGAGTCGCCACCAGCCTTCACCGGCCCGCCGACCGATCGATCCCAGCGCCATGGGCCACCTTCCATCCCCCTATTTGTTGGCGGCTGCCCAAGCTGAAGACGCACAGCGAACGCCTGCTGCGTCGCCATGGATGGTGCCATGCCGTTGGCACCCCTGAGCTCCTCGCCCCCCGCAAGCAGCACTTAGTGACGCCCTTGTTGGACGAAGGCTTTCGTCTCTCATTCCGGCGAGAACCCATGCGTAGTACACGGTGACAATTGATGGGCGGGCCGTTGAACGCTGGCGTAGCAGCACTTGGTATGCCGCATGGAATTGGATGCTAGCTTAGCATTGTGCACTCGCAAGCAAATGCGGACGCTTTTGGGGCGGTGGTAAATTCGTACCCCTCCCTCCCCCCCCCACCCCAAGCACGCAGACTGGTCATGCCCCGTTGTTATAACTGGGTTAACCATGATGGACAGAGCGGGTGTCCATCGTGGTACCCCCGAGGACACCCGTCTGTCCATCAGGGGTACCATTGGTAGGAAACAGCGTCATCAGGTCATGACCCGATATCTTCACGTACTCCGTATGAAATACCGCCATCGGGTCATGTCACGATCATGACCATGACCCGATATCGTCCCACGGTAAGGTAACCGTACTGGACAGGGCGGGTGTCCATCGTGGTACCCCCTAGAACACCTGTCTGTTTCCGCTAGGGTCACCGTTGGTATGAAATTGCGCCGTCGATCGGTTCGTGGCGTCATCACCCCAACCAAGAGTGACCCCCCTTCAGCTTGATACCACACGTGTCGCCACAACGTGTTGGATGTGTCACCTACTGTCATGGGAGCATGCGGCCTGTCTGGTTCCTAGTGGTCCCATGCCGGGGGCATTATGATAACCCCGTAGTGTGATGATACCATCCCCTGGGGTGAAATGATTTCCCCCACATGGTGTGATCATGCCAGCCACGGAACCGGTGTACAGTACCCCCCCCCCTCCCCTACTTCCCCCTCGTGTTTTTGGGCCATGTTTGGGG